CTCGCGCGGCCGCTCCCAGGCGCGCCGACGCGCGCGGTGCCAGCCGTGAGCAGCGGCCCTCGGAGCGGGCGACCGTGGGGCAGGGAGCTGAAACGGAACGCACGCGCGCGTGCATTGAGCCAAGAAGCTGGCGCCCGTCCTCGGAGTGGAGAGAACGACATTAACTGAACGGCCGGACCGAGGGATAAGGTCGAGGCCGCTTCGGGGAGGGTGCCCTAATGTTCTTCGTGCTTGTTGGGTGTGCTTGTCCATCCTGGGGGAGGGTACCCTCGAATGTTTTCCGGTAGCATCAGATTTGTTGCTCCTCCTTCCCTCGGCCAGCGTTAACTAGCTTCTACCACAACAGCACCCCGTTCAGCAAGCTGTCTGGGGAACGAACGAACGACAAACATGCTGCCGCTTCTTTTCGCGATACGAGTTGGTCTGGGAAGCCCTCCCCCTCCTTTCGGCTGCACGTAGGGGCCGCCTTTCGCTGGAATGACCTTTGGGTGCGGGCTCACAGGGGTGGCCCCAGCGTTGGCCTGCGGGCTTGAGTCTGGCCCCCGACCGCCCCCGAAAGCCGCGCACCAGAGGTCACTCCTGCCCAGGGTCGCTCTTGCGCGCAGGCGACCCCCTCTTCGGCAGCAACTCATCAGAGCTTCGCGTGTCCTCGACACTCCGTTTTTAGATTGCGCTATCGTCTTGGCATCGATGAGCATGCGCCGATTGAGTGTCGATGCTCACAGATTTAGCGTCGGTTAGTGCCGACTCGCAAGAGCCAGCAACATGACATGGGAGGCTCCCGCAAGTTGCCACAGGACATCCCTGGCGATGTGGGCATCCGGTGGTCCCAAGACCATCCGGTGACGTACCGTGCGGTGAGGTCTTTTGGGATTCCGAGCTCACCGCGCGGTCTGTCACCACACGGTACCGGGACCCCCAGCAAAGTTCTCATTTTTGCCCAGGGTCGTTCTTGCATGTGCTGCCGTCCATTTCGTTCGCGTCACAAGGGCTCTGTACTGGAGCGGTGGTCCTGGCCAACACGGGGTCACCTTGCCCCGTTGGGCCACGGGGTGTGTGACCGCCAACATGTGTGTGTGTGTGACCGTCGCAAGTTGGCAACGCTACGACATGGACGCGGTCAGGTCCGTGCAACGCGATCGTGCCCTCGGGGCAGCGCGGAATCTAGCACTTCAGAGGAAGCCCGCGAAGCTTTCGGAGAGGAGAAAGACAACGCGGCCATGCGAGCGACCCTTTGCCGTCGAGAGATGCAGGACTCCCCCGCGGTGCCCCGAGACCTGTTCGGCAACTGGCGGCTGCTCTGGGCCACGTCCCCGGACGTGCCGCCCCTCTTCCCGGCCTCGGGCGTCGAGTCATGGGGGAAGCGGCGATACATGGGGGGCTGAAGAAGTGTGCCCTTCCTCGTGCCCTGAAATGGGGCCCTGAAGGAGCCCTTGGGGCCCAAAAGGGGCACGAAAGGGGCACGTGTCTGCCCGCCCCCTCCTTGTCGCCCCCCCCATGGACTGACGCCCGACGCCGGCCCCGCGTGGCCGCCCCCCCGCGCGCCGCGAGCACGCCGCTCGAGTGACAGCTCGGCGGCGAAGTCCGAGCCCGACCCTCGCCGATGCACGATGCGGGCGACTCGGTGGGCAGCGGGGGTCGGATTCGGAATTCGTCGGTCACGTGGCGAACTTCGAGCCCTGCCCGTGTCTGGACGCCCGAAATGGGTACTGAAAGAATGGGTACTATGCCCAACAGCGGATCTTGTTCATTTTGAACAAGATCCGCTGTCCACGCCGCCGCGGCTTGTGTCCATTCGAAACAGGAGGCCGCCCGCCCAACAGCGGCCGCTGTTGGTTTGGGACAACATTGGTTGTTGGGCATAGTGCACATTCTTTCCGTACCCATTTCGGGCGTCCAAACCATGCCTCCCACCGGTTCAGGAGAGTCGATGGTTGGTCGTTGTAGGGTTCGGATGTCGCCACCCAAGCGCAAGAGTTACACGGACATAAGACACAGACATAGTGTTTGGAGGGTCGCGCGAATTTATCGGATCGGCGCTGGAGCCCTTCGACCGTGCCTCCGGCGCCACGCCTGGCGAGCTCCGCGCGCCCGGGAGGGTGGTTCGGCGCCGATCCAAGAAGTCCACGCGGATCTCCGAAAGTTCAAGTTTCTGTTTATGCTATTTGTTCTAGTCTGAAATGTGCAGCGATGGTGTCCCCAAGGAAGCATCTGGAGGAAAGGAGGAGGGTCCACGATGGTTCGCCAGTTAGTAAATCACTGAAGCTTCCGCTCGTTTTAGATTGAACAAGCATCGGTGCATAGCGCCTTCAGTAGCGGCCAACAGCCCCAAATAGCGCACAATAGCCGCCAGTAGCGCATATCTAGCGTTCAAATGGCGCCTGGTAAGGACCAGCAGCGCCCAAGAGCGCTGTGTGAGGGAGATGCATTGCGTCCGCTTTGCGCGGGATTGGGCGCGCTATTGGGCGCCATGGGGACGACCAACAATTTCTTTGGGGACGACCCAACTGTTTTGCGATGAAGGCTCTAAAGAAAAATCAGGATGAGGAGGAGGAATAGGAGGAGCGGGAGGAGGAGGAGAAAGGTTCTGTGGTTCGCGGAGGTTCCAGGTTCCAATGTTCTTTTCCCATCGGAGTGGTTCGAGGAGGTTCAAGGTTCAGCAGGTTCGAGTCGGAGGGCTGATGCTTGTAGGAGGGGTCGAGAGCCCCGAGGCCCACACATAAAAGCAGACACGGCGTCGAAGATATGGGGATGGATGTCGGAGGACGGAACAGGGGCATCGTTGGGGGGTGGCATAAGTTCAGGGAGGAGTAGCTCACGCAAGTTTCCGTATCGTCGAATAGCGACCAATATTGCAATAACGCCCAGTAGCACCGAATAGCCAACAGCAACATGTGGGATACACATGTTGTCCGTTGATGGGGCGCCTTCGCTCGTCTTTTTGCCAGCAATTTCCAATCGTAAGGTTCAATATCACGTTCTCCATGGTTCTATCAGCTTTTGGTTGTTGCTCTCTCTCTCTCTCTCTCGCTCTCTCTCTATCTCTCTGTTTCTCCCCTCCCTCTCTCCTTCCCTCTCTCCTCGCTCTCTCTCTCTCTCTCTCTATATATATATATCAATGTCATTGGTTTTCTGTCATTAGCTTTCTATCTCTCTCTGTCTCTCTTCTCCCCCTCGATATCACATTTATAATATGGATGAATACCAGGTCCCCGGCCCCGGGGCTCCGGCCCACCCCCGGGACATCCGGGTCACGCCCGTGTTATCCCCCCCCCCGGGGGCCCCAAAAGAGGCCCTCGAGACGGCCCAAGAATGTTCCAAGACGGTCCAAGAGGGCCCAGAGTCGCCGAAAGATCGGTCCAAGACGCCCATGATGGCTTCCAGACGACCCAAGACGCCCCCAAGAATCCCCAGAGGCCTCCAAGAGGCCTCCCAAGACGGCCCCGAGAGGCAGGAATCGTTGATTTGTAATGTGTTTTTTCTGTGTTTTTTGGTTTCTTGCTGTTTCCGCTTTCTGAGGCTCCAAGACCGCCCGAGAGGCTCCCAAGACTGCTCCAAGACGGCCCAAGATGCCCCCAAGAGAGCCCCAAGACGGCCCAAGAGAGCCCCAAGACCGCCCCGGATCCGCCCAAGACGGCCCAAGAGTGCCCCAAGAAGGCCCCAAGAGGGGCCCAAGAGAGGGAACACGAACCGAAAAATCGAGCTCTCCGCCCGAAGATGCCCGCATGAGAACCCAAGAAGCCCCCAAGACGCCCCAAGAGGCCCCCAAGAGGGGCCCAAGAGGCCCCCCAAAGGCCTCCAAGAGGCCCCAAGAGGCCCCCACGAGGCCCAAACGAGGCCTCGTTTGGGGCTCCCTTGGGCCTCTCTTGGGGCCCTTCCACGCCCTCTTGGTGCCATCTTGCGGCCTCGGACGCCATCGGAAGCAAAAAGGCGAGAAAGCACAAAATATAGATTTCTCATTGGTCTTTGATCGATCTTCGCCTCTTGGGGGGCCTCCCTGGGAAGCTCCGTGGCCGCTTGGAGTCACCTTGGGGCGGTCTTGGGGCCTCTTTGAGTATCTTGTGAGCCATCTTGAGCAATCTTGAGCAATCTCGGAGCCCATCTTGGGCTCTCTGAGGCCCCCTTGGAGCCGTCTTGAGCCGTCTTCGACGATCTGACCGCTCGCGGGGACCCCATTTAGGTCCAGGGGAGATGGTTAGGGGCAGAGGTACCCTCCCCGAAGGGGTAGAGGGAAGGGTGGAGGGAGGAAACGCGCTTAACCACCTACGCACAGAGAGCTGGTGGGATTCTCTTTGCAACTCCTCTCATCCCTTGTTCTGTCAAACGAATGCTCTGCCTGTGCCGCCCTAGAACCTAAGCGCGCGCGAAACGTGCGCGTGGTTCTAGCATATATATATATATATATATATATATGTATATATGCATTACGCGCACACACACTCTGTCTTTTTCTTCTTCCTAGTTTTTCTCTCTCTCTCTCTCTATCTATCTCTCTCTTCACTAAGCGTTTCGATACACTGACGAAGCTCATATTCGCGGTGACATGAACTGCGACCAGTCGTATCAAGATGCCCTGTTGCCCCTCGAATGTATTCTTCTGGTCGGGCTCGCTCCTATTACGGAAAGAGTGGTGGCCCCAGAGAGTCTTGAAACCTTCGTGTCTCTCGCCCGTCCGAACACCCAAAGCGTCCAGCATCCGTGCGCGGTGTGTAACAGTTGCCGTTTTGTCGCGACGTTCGTGCACATATTTACGTATCTTGGCCGAGTCTCGCTGGGTGTTCGCGTGCCAATGGCTGTTTTGGACATGTCTTATTCGCTGGTCTGGCATCGCGTGCGTCGCCATATCTCTCAACAGCGGCCGTCACCATCAGCAGCACCTCTGCATGCAGCAGCTGTGCATCGCTGTCTGTGGCCAGTTTGGCTCTTGCGAATTCGGCCTCGGTGGATGCGCTGTGTGATGGCGTTCATTGAGGCGCAGCGGCGATGACTGCCCTAGACGAATGAGGCGCGCCTTTGGCGCAGCTGCCGCCCTGGGCTCTTCCGCTTATGTGCACAATTCAGCTCAGCTGGGTACCGACATGGTGCGCCCACGCGACATGCCGCATTCGCTTTCGCAGGCTCACGGGGCGTGGGCAGAAGAGGAATAGGAGCAGGAAGTGGAGGCGTGGGGGAAGCATGATGAGGGGCGACACTGGTTCCTGGCTTGAAGCAGGGGCCAGAGACAGGCGACCCAATGGCGATGGCTCGGAGGCAGATGGCCCGTAGACGATGAGAGAGGAGGAGGAGGAGGAGGAGGAGGAGGAGGAGGAGGAGGAGGAGGAGGAGGAGGAGGAGGAGGAGGAGAGAGGAGGAGGAGGAGGAGGAGGAGGAGGAGGAGGAGGAGGAGGAGGAGGAGGAGGAGGAGAGGCGGAGGAGGAGGAGGAGGAGGAGGAGGAGAGAGGTAGGGAGAGGAGGAGGAAGGAGGAGGAGGAGGAGGAGGGGGGAGCGGAGGAGAAGAGGAGCGGGAGGAGGAGGAGCAGAAGCAGGAGGGAGGAGGAGGAGGGAGGAGGAGGAGGAGCAGGAGGCGGAGGAGGAGGAGGAGGAGGAGGAGGAGGAGAAGGGGGAGGAGGAGGAAGAGGAGGGGGAGGGGAAGAGAGGAGGAGGAGGTGGAGGAGGATGAGGAGGCAGGAGGAGGAGGAAGAGGAACAGGAGCAGGAGGAGGAGGAGGAGGTGCAGGAGAGAGGATGAGACGGAGGAAGAGGAGGAGGAGGAGGAGGAGAAGAGGAGGAGGAGGAGGAGGAGGAGGAGGCGGAGGAGGGGGGGAAGGAGGAGGAGGAGGTGGAGGAGGAGAAGGAGGAGGAGGAGGAGGAGGAGGAGGAGGAGGAGGAGGAGGAGGAAGAGGAACAGGAGGCAGGAGGAGGAGGAGGAGGAGGAGGAGGAGGAGGAGGAGGAGGAGGAAGGGTCCGTGGTTCGCGGGGGTGTGAGTTGCCTTTGCTTTTTTTCCAATCGGCATGGTTCGAGGAGGTTCGATGTTCCAGCAGTGTTGTTCGCCCGCATTTTTCTCTATGCTTGTCCTCGGCGGGGAGCATGATCAGGGCATGGCAGAAGGCGAAGGCGAGGGGGGAGAAGGACGAGGATGTGCGTGGGAGGAGGAACAGCTTCAGGGGAGCGTCATCCGCGGCAGGGTAAAGCGGAGGAGGAGGAATGACATGTTCCCGAATCGGGCCCGCGCCGCGCTTTGCTGCAGGATTCCGCGCAGGCCTGTCCAAGAAAGGGAAGAGGAGGAGGAGGAGGAGGAGGAGGAGGAGGAGGAGGAGGAGGAGCATCAGCAGGACGAGGAGGAGGAAGGGGGAAGAGGAAGGGGGGGCAGAGGGAGGAGGAGAGGGAGCGAAGCAGCGACAAGGGAGCACGCAAGAAGGTCGATGGGCGGCAAGGGAGGAGAAGGAGGAGAAGGAGGAGGAGGAGTAAATTATCCTGGCGAAGGACCCAACCATATGCAATTGTGAATACCGCAATTGTGAATATCTTCTTCGGTGGCGTTCCCTAAGGGGCCACGAAACGTGTGAGGTGTGTGCCGAAATGGGTGCGCGGGACGCGTGCGGGCGGCAGCACAAGGGCCGTCGGCGGAGCTCCTATGGGGCCACGAAGCGTGTGAGGGGTGTGCCGAATTGGGTGTGGGTGACGCATGCGGGCGGCAGCACTGGGGCCTTCGGCGGAGCTCCTATGGGGCCACGAAACGTGTGAGGGGTATGCCGAATTGGGTGTGGGTGACGCATGCGGGCGGCAGCGCTGGGGCCTCCGGCGGAGCTCTATGGGGCCACGAAAGTTTGTTGAGGGGGCGTGTGTGCCGAATTGAGTGTGGTGTCGCATGCGGGCGGCAGCACTGGGGCCTTCGGCGGAGCTCCTATGGGACCACGAAACGTGTGAGGGGTGTGCCGAATTGGGTGTGGGTGCCGCATGCGGGCGGCAGCACTGGGGCCTTCGGCGGAGCTCCTATGGGGCCACGAAGCGTGTGAGGGGCGTTCCGAATTGTGTGTGGGTGACGCATGCGGGCGGCAGTTTTGGGGCCTTCGGCGGAACTCCTATGGGGCCACGAAGCGTGTGATGGGGTGTGCCGAATTGGGTGTGGGTGGCGCATGCGGGCGGCAGCACTGGGGCCTTCGGCGGAGCTCCTATGGGGCCACGAAACGTGTGAGGGATGTGCCGAATTGTGTGTGTGGGTGACGCATGCGGGCGGCAGCGCTGGGGCCTTCGGCGGAGCTCCCTATGGGGCCACGAAGCGTGTGACGGGTGTGCCGAAATGGCGGAGGGAGGAGGGAGGAGGGGGAGGAGGAGAGGAGAGGAGAGGAAGAGAAGAGAGGAGGACGCGGGGACCGTCTCTTCAAAACGAGGACCCAACACCACAGGATGGTTGGGACAAAAAGGAGAAGGAGGAGAAGGAACAGGAGGAGGAGGAGGAGGGGAAGAGGACGAGGAGGGGGAGGAGGAGGAGGAAGGAGAGGAGGAGGAGGAGGGGAGGAGGAGGAGGAGAGGAGGAGGAAGAGGAGGGGGAGGAGGAGAAGTAGGAGGAAAAGGAGGGGGATGACGAAGAGGAGGAGGAGGATGAGGATGAGGAGGAGGAGGGAAGAGGAGGGGGGGAGGAGGAGAAGGAGGTTAGAGGAGGAGGAGGGGGGAGGGAACGAGGAGGTGGAGGAGGAGGAGAGGAGGAGGAGGAGGAGGAGGAGGAGGAGGAGGAGGAGGGGGAAGAGGAGCAGGAGGAGGAGGAGAGGATGGAGGAGCAGGAGAAGGAGGAGCAGGAGAGAGGAGGAGGAGGAGGAGGAGGAGGAGGACCAGCGCAAAAGCAAGAGTCACCAACGATGTTGGAATTCACATTCCCTCCAAGCTCCCTCTTCATAGGCCCCCCGCAACGCTTCATGTCCATTGAGGGGACTGCCTCGTTGGAAGACAACCGTTTGAAGATCCTGAAGCAGGCCAAAACATTGTTCTAGTGATTTCAACGCCACGCATCAACCTGGCTGCTGCGTCTTGGCGATCCGGAATCGTGCCAGAGCGCCGTTTTTTTTGGATTTCAACACAGCGAATCGACACAATTATTGCACCCGCATGGTCCTGAATCCTTCTAAAACACTCGCTCTGGTACGTTGATCATGGGAATCCGTGAAACTCTTGCACACTTTGAAAACGAATGTGCGCGGCGCTAAGGCGAGAGCCACATTTTGAACACGACCCGCCGTCAATCCGTGAAGCTCTTGCAAATGTCTAAAACGAGTGTGCGCATGTTGCAAACGACCCGCCCTCAATCCGTGAAGCTCTTGCAAAGTTCTGAAGCGAATGTGCGCGGCGCTAGGGCGAAAGCCACATTTTGAAAGCGACCCGCCCTCCATCTGCGAAACTGTTGTCACTTATTAAGCGTCAGAGTCATACATTGTGAGGAAGTCTCTGGCGAAACTTGCCTCGGGGTGCGACAGGGAGGAGCTATCTATAATGAGAAGGAATGGAGGAGGGGGAGGAGGAGCAGGAGCAGGAGGAGGAGCAGGAGGAGGAGCAGGAGGATGTGGGGGAGGAGGAGGAGGAGGAGGAGGGGGAGGAGGAGGAGGAGGAGAAGGAGGAGGAGGAGGAGGAGGAGGCGGGGGAGGAGGAGAGGAGGCAGGCCCGCTGCAACATCAGCCACAGCATGAAGCTCGGAAAAGGAGCAGGAGCTAGAGCTGGAGCTGGAGGAGCAAGGCGGAGCGGGAGACTGTCAGAGGAGGGCAGTTGTCGCGCGGGCAGGCGCGGGCTAGTTGGCGGGGGGATCCCAGAGCCCCCGACGGCCCCGAGTTTCAGAGGAAACGTCAAGTCAAGCAGTGGCGAAGCGCCCTGACCTGCCTATAGGCCCACCACGTCATCTTTAAAACCTCTCTGTGTGGTTTGCACGAGATGTTAAAACATGTCTGACTGAGACCGTCGTGTTACGCAGGGGGCCTGTGGAGGCCAGCCAGGACCACCTGGGGTGGGCGGTCTGCGCGCGACCCGAAGCCTTACAGTAGTTACGAGTTTGGTCGCAAATTTCATGGGAGCCTCATGTACCCCTGCCTCTCCGTGTTAGGAGTGCGTTAGCGTCGGCTAGGGTTTGGTAATCGTTGAAACCGCGCCGATTTAGCGTCGATTCGCGTCGATGTAGCCTCGATCAGCGTCGATTCGCAAGCGCCAACAAGATGGTATGGGAGGCTCCCATGAGTTGCCACCGAACTTACCATTGGAGCATCCAGACGCGTTGATATCCTTGATCACGCCGCCCCCTCGCTCTCCTCGAGAGGCGTGCGACGTGGCTGCGGAGCCCGCCAGCTGCGCGGCGGCAAACTGCTCCGGCGAAGCCGGCCTCGCGGAGTTCTGGGCCCAACTCAAGGGAATAAACACGGGGACCATGACCATGATGTCGCGGGATCTTGTCGATGCCGATCTGTGGGGACACCAACCGGTACCGATGCCGGTGCTCTCAAGACCTCTCCCGGGGTGCGTTCTGACCAGGATCTCGAGGCGAATCCAGCCATGGCGATGATGACCTCCCAGAAGCCTAATAGCGTCATCGAGGCGAGGGTAGCAGTATGGGTATCTTTCCCTCCTCATGCTCTTAGGGGGCCCGTTGAGGCTAGCCGGGCAAGAACCCCCCGACCTCGACGTTTGGCCGTCCAGGGGCGCTCGCATCGACCACAGCGAGAACTACGCTGTCTTCGGTGCTCCGACGAATGTTGGCATACGCAAGGCATCCCCAGGGTGTGCCCTCGATGTGGCCATCTGGCATCTTCCAGACGAGCTGGCGTCCCTCCTGGGCCGCAGATTACTGACGAGGACCTTCAATGGTCTGACTTCGATCCCGCCCCCCCGCTCCTCCGCTTCCCGGCTGCCCTACCTCTCTCTTTTCCCTGCCTCTTTCAGTGCGCAGTTCGCTGTCCAACGCCCCTTGGGCCGCTCGACAGACCCGCGCGCTCGCAGGTTCGCGACGAAAAAGTGTTCTCGATGTGGTTCGGGGACTTCCAAATGGTGTGGTGACCACACCGCGTTTTGAGTCACTGCGGATTCGGGGTTACCACGCGGCTTTGGGACTTGAGCCGTTCTCCGAGGATGTCTCGAGCGTTTGTGGCCTCCCACACCCCCGACGTTGTGATTTTTCGATGACGTGGGCCCCCCAGAGGCGTCGACCTATTCCCCAGGATTTGTTTTTCATCATGCATCGTTTTGACGGCCATGGGGCCCGGCGATGGCCCCCAGAGGCCAGAAATCACAAACAGCATTCCCGTCGTGTTTTTGTCCCATGTTTTCATGGCCCGAGTGGGTCTAGGATGCGAGATCCCAGAACCGCGCGGGGAGGTCGCCGGGGGTGCCGAGGCCACCACGCGGTCCCCGCAGGAGTGCCCCTGCGCCTGCGCGGGCGCCGCGCCCGCGGCGGCGGCCACGCGGCGGGCGACCGCCGACGGCTGCACGGGCGACGAGTGGTACTGCGG